TCAAAATAAAAGTATTCCCGGAAATTCAGAGAATAGGCGCTTGTTTTGTTGTGGAGGAACACCAAAGTAATTGCCTACGGAGCTTGCTTTTTCGACATCTTTAAGAGTTCTGAACAAATGTCTGTCCTCCTCCAGAACATCTTATGTTCGCAAACGCGCATTCCAACTTCTTATCTGGTTCTGCAAATGCGTACCTGCGGACCATTTATGTGCAGCCCTGTTTATAGTTTCCTGTGCATTTCAAACATTGTCCTTTCTGATGTTTGTTTTGGGTTTTTTTTATATTTAAATGCCATGCTACTTTATATTTAAAGTAGCATAGCTGCTATGAGGCCAGCTAGGATCCCTGTGGACCTACAAATGACCCACTTAACAAGGCCAGTCAGATACAGGAGCCCTCTGATGAGTCCTCTGAAGAGCAAATGGATATTGAGTCTAACAGAATGAGCCCCTCTTACTGCTCTAGCCACAATATTCTGAATTAGTCGGCCAGGGCTTGCAGTTGGGTTTAGTACTGTCTCCCCAATAGATGCGTGGAAGATGTTCATGTCTGATAATATAATAGAAGAGGTGCTGTCATACACAAACATGGAGGCACGAAGAGTAGCCACAGACAGGGGAAAAGAGTGGAAAAATATAATCAAACATAAGCTCGGGCCTTCATTTGATTGACCATTTTTGCAGGAAGTGAGAAGAACTGGGATGTACCAGTCGGTGTGCTTTTTGGGAGTCCTCTGCATAACCCATTGTACAAGGCCACTATATCAATTCAAAGATTTAAAGATATTTGATGTTTCTTGCACTTTGATGACAAGAGGACCAGAGCCTACCGACTGAAAACAAACCATATGGCAGCTTTCAGCTACATATGGGGCCTGTTCCTGGTCAACTGCAGGTAGAAATTTATTCTCAGTGATTGTGTTACAGTGGCTGAACAACTTGTGCCTTTCAGAGGGAAGGCCCAGCTTCTGCAGTATATGCTGAGCAAGCATACACAAGTGATACAAAAACTGCAATTTCTTAAAATTAATGAAAAAATAAATAAAAATGTAAAGGGCCTCATGTCACAAACATGTTTTATGAGGAATACCTCAAATATAAAAATATTACAACTCTTCGTTTTAAAGATTTTGAAGAATAACAACCGAGTTTATAGCAAAATGCATTGTTTCTATTTGGGATCATTTTTGACCCCACTCGTGGAAGAGTGTAGGTACTGGTAAGTTGTGCATCCAAGGGTTAAGTTAAAAACGTGCAGGCCTCCATTAAAATAAAATAAAAAAGTTAGGCGGGGACTACGGATTGATTTTTCATGGAATGACCTAGAACTAATCCAGCTTTGTTTTGCAGAATTCATCTCATCTCATTTAAATATATGTGGTTGTGTTGAGTAATATTAAATATACATTTTCAAAAAAATAAATAATTAAATAAGTTGCTACTCACCACCAACTGAAGCACTGCGTCGCTGACACCGGTGCCATTTGAAAGAGCCTATAAATACGTTCAGATAATAAATTCTACATTTAATATAACTATTGTCGAAAACAAAACCACACTTTTCCTCCTTGACTTTAACACATTTTGCTACAATCACAGTTTTTAGAAGACACAAACGTAAATAACCGCTAATATCAAATTAAGCTACCGTCGAACAACGTTCGCAGTTCTGATTACAGCGGATGCAAAAATATGCAAACAAACGTACGATAGCGAACAACTCCACCTAAACAAAGACACCATTAAGTAGACGGCGCCAATTTACATTGAGCTTCTACAGCTTGCAGTATTAAACGGCGTAATATTTATGCTGTAAAAATAAACCATACCTCTATTGTTCCCTCCGAGAGTTTCGTCATGGCTGACAAAGGGTGATTTTAGCTACCACAACAAAAGAAAAATATCTTTTAAGTTTTAACAAGACAGAACCTCAGTACTACTAGCACTGACAGTAAGCAACAAAATTATGACCGTGGCGCCAACAGCTTGTAACAACGCGCCAAGGCGCGTATGCGCTGCCACGACTTCCGTTTCCGTTTACAGATCTGCGTTCAGTTTAGCCTTTCTAAACATCGTGCATCTGCGTGTCTTGGTTATACTGAAAACTGATCAGAGATCAGCTTCGCTAAAGTCACCTCACCGCCAACAATGACGTGACGTCAGGCGGGTTTCATGGTGCCTTCCCATTTATAGGAAACTGGGATTCTTCAGACTTTACCGTAACATTTTTTGTAAGATACAAAGAAATCCCTTAAGGAACATAGATTTGATATGTTAATATTTTTATTTGCCAAAAAAAAACCGAACTGTAATGTTAACTGAACATCTGCTTCTTTTCTTTGCATTTAGGAAGATCGTGTCCGTCAAGTCTTTTTCATAACAATCACAAAAAGAAAAATGGTGAGGTAGAAGATACCACTTCATTACCTGAAAAGAAGAGGCAAAGACAATTATCCACAGCAAGAAATTGCTGAGACAATATATGTAAGAATACTCCCTACCACTGTTTGCGTCATTACATTTTCCCAGTTTTAGAAATGCAACAACTTACAATAACCCTTTTCTTTTAAAGATATGTCATTTTGAAAACAGAATGAAGGTTTTCACCACAACTTCACCTACTTCTAAGCTGCATGGTGAAAAACAAGGATCTGAAAAAGTCAGCGTTTTGGTCTGTAGCCAGGGTCATCCACAGGCCGAAACGCGCTGGTCAAGTAATAAAGTTGTAGTCTTAGTGTTGCTGAAGCTTCGACCTGTTTTCACGATGTGTCACAATGAAACTCATAAGCATGACGTGTGATTCAAATCAGTTCAGTTTATTGAGTCATTACATCAAACCATCCAATACACATACTGATTCATACTGACACTAACCAATTTACTTTGTGTTGAGATCAAAATGTATGTGCCATCAAATTGAAATAGGCTCAGTATAAGCAACAATGACCATACTTTTTTTGTTTAATTATTATTTTTGACAAGGACATCTCATCTAATAGCAACTATATTATTTTAAAGGAATACTCAAGTTTTGGGCTCCCCATTTTGTTCACAGAATCAGTTTTCACAAATATTTTGATTGAGTTAACTAATAGTCTTTCCTGTACTGGTCTGAGTTTCTCTGGAAGAGCTGTAAAGGGTTTTAGTCCTTACTTAGGTGGGCCTCCAAATTGGGCCCCATCATTCTTGTCAATGGGAAATCCCACTTTATCCTTGCTTCCAAATTCCCCTTTCTGTAGGACAGGAGCGCCGGGATTGGGGTTGTTGATTACACCCATAAAAATCGGTATTTTAGTTACATCATGCATAAGTGCAAAGAAGAAGGGTTGGCTGAGATGGAAAACTGGATTGGATGCCCTTGAAATAACCACAGTAGTAGCTGCAGCTGCCTCTGCACCATCCTCATTTATCTCCATGCTGGACTTATGCATTACACTGGACACCAGCAGAGGGCCATCTGAAATCTCAGCCAAGTTGGGAGAAGAAAATATCTCACCAAGGCCTAACAAAGAGCACAGAGTATAAGGTCAGTTCATGGGTTAAATGTCGCTACCTTTATCTCACACAAAGTCCAGCAGTTTCATCAAGCAATAATGTAATGTATAAGTCATGAATTATAAATGTAACACTAAGTTCACAGAAAACAGGTCTTACCCAATTTGATAAAGACATCTTTTAACTCTTGTCCATACTCTAGTTTGAATTTGGGGACTTTTACTTGAACTGCCCTCTCTTTGGGCAGTCGATTATAAAGGTTAGAGACATCGATCTTTGCAGCAAGTGAAGAGATATTTGTCTGCAAAGACATAGGCACGACCACCAACAAACTCATAGACTTCAGGAATGGGAAGCTTGCTACCTGCACAAAGAAAAAGAATGGCGCTTTAGTAAAATGGAGGGTATCCAAGGAATTTAATTTTCTCTTCAAACATTTGAGGTTTGAAAATATTTTTGTTTTACCTGAGCCTCCAGTTCATGATCAATGAAGAAACTCAAGGGATGTTTGGCATCTTCCATTACCTCTACATCAACCATGTGCTGTTCATCGAGATAGAACACACCTCTGGAGGTAAAGCGGGGGTCAAATCGAGCTTTCCACTCTCCTGTGGGAGCAAAGGAGGGAGGATCTCGGTTTGAGATAGCAGCAAAATGTAAAACACTTCGGAACAGTCGATTTCATTCGGGATTAGAGAGGAAACAGTATCTTATAAAATGGGCAGAATTTTACAAATACAGTGGCATTTAAAAATCTCACTCACCTTTGAAATGGACGGCATTAATGAGCACGAGAAGCAGATTGGGAGGTAAAGCAGAAAGGAAGTCAGCTATCTTTCCTTGAGTTGCGTTCTCTACCCATGTGTTTATTTGCTCCAGATTCTCCAAGATTGCTGGTTCCGAGCGATAAAAGCGATGAGACTCATTGACAAATACTTCCTTTGGCTTAAACCCTAAAAACATAAACATCCCGACTTTATTTCTCCTAAATACTCTCAGATCATCTTTAAGGTGTAACGAGAAAAATTGTTTTAAAATTTAAAGACACAATCTTCTCAGTCATAACCTTCACGCAGAAAGATACGTGTGGCAATGTGTAGATCACTGTTTTTTAGCTGCATCAAGATACTATGCAGAGACTGGTGGTAGCAGGGGAGAGTGTTTTCATGAAGATGATGCATCAGCAGTTCCCTCGTCTCATTTACAGCACCTGTAAAAAGAGAAAAAAAAGAGGGGTACAATTACTGGATGAGAAATATGGTGTTCTCTAGACAACAATAAACTAGGGTAAGTTGCTGACACAATTCATCAGATGTGGTAACACCATATAAAAATAACAACTTGCTTAGATAAAATGATGCAGTAAAAGCACATTAACAAGACATGCATACCTAAAGCCAGCTGGGAAAGGCCTAGAGATATGCTTAAAGGAGATATGATAATATTTGGCTGCTCTGGCGTCATCTCCAGGTTCTGCAGCAGCTGCACACCCATTTTCTGAATGGCAGCAGCAACAATTTCCTTGGAATGTGGGCTTCTGCCAAGAGACAGACAACCCCCATCATCTTCTTCTGTCGACGAGGCTCCAGTGGGCCCACTACTTGTTGTAGGTGGTTGATAGGATGTTGTAATTATAGAGGCTTCTGTAGTACCGGCGGATTCTGGCTGTGCTGTACTGCTGTGTCCTGTTTCCTATAGACACACATCAGAATTCCAAAGCTTATTATTTTCCAAGTTGTTAATTTAGGAGTCCAGAACCATGACCACGGAAAAACAAAAAGAAAGAAAAAAAAGACAGCAAAAGCATTTTGACTCTAACCTCCTCTGGTTTTGTAAGAGGCACCAGCGAGACTGGTTGATTTTCTTCCACCTCAGCATTCTGTTGAGCACAAAGATAATATAGATTAACAATCGGCACAGGACGTAATCATCCAGTATAATCTTAACAGTGATTTTTTGAGATCTTTAAGAGGTTTACAGTGGCTCCTTGGCTACAGAGATAGATCAACAGGAGTGTCAGGCAGAGGTCCATTTCCTCACAATGCAACTGTGAAAGAGAAAATTAGGTTAATGGCAAAATTCTATATCCTGCTTAGATTTTATGGATCGACACAATTACCTTTCATGCTCACTGCAATTTAGCATGCTATGCGATAAAAATGAGTATGCCTCTGAAAGCACCATATTCATTCTTCCAGCTAATAGTTACAAGCTATTGAAAAAAGAAAGACATTAAGACACAACATTCCTCACCTTTATTTAGAATTACTTTGATGGATTGTCTGAAAGAATTGAGCACTTTCACTCTACTTAGTTGCGCTCACTTTCAAAGGAAATCCCCAGAAATGTGCCTAAAACACATGTGGATTTCAACCATAAATTGTGTACTTTCAAGTATTATTCAAGTTGCCAAAGCACATTATAATAGAGCAGATTAATCTCTAAATAATTATTTGCTTTACAAATATTTTGAAAACCATTTGTACTGTGGTATTTAAACATGGTATGGAAATCTAAGTCAAATGTCAAAAAGGCATTAACTCGGATTGCAACATTACCTCCCTTGCAGACCTTATACATGAAAAATGTTAAAACAGTGATATTTTGTGTAATCATTTAAGTCTTTAAAGTATTCAAATGTGCAGGAGTGTTTAAATATGTGAGTATGTCTTACCTTATATTTAAATTAGAAAAAAAACTTGCTGGCTTGTCCAAAAAAAGAGCAACTAAGTGCGGCGCATGTCAGGATTCCTGGGAGTAAGAGATTGGCATTTGCTCAGCAAACAGTTAAATATCAACTTAGATTGATTGGGGCCTCATTTAAGCCACTATTTGTTTGTAAATGTAGCTCTGGAAACTCTTGCAGGGTTAAATGTTGAAGCTAAACACGAGCAGCTATTTAGCACGTCAGTGGGGAGGTGATAATTTCATGACGCATTTAAATCCAAAGGAAACACAGCAACTTATTGCAAAGGTCTGATTAATCCAGCTTTGTGTCAGTAAACAAATACAAGTTGCTTATTTCAAAGTAATACATTTGATGTCAGAGAACACACCCCCACATTTCCCAGAAGCCCTGGATTTAATCCATAATTAACTTAAGATCTCAGGCAGCAAAACCAGAGGCTTCGGTTAACAAATCACTGTTTTGTGTTGTGACCAATAATACCCTTTAGATTCTCAAAGAAATATATATATACTCATTTGTTGGACTTGGTCACATTTTACCACTAAGCAAAAACGATATCTTTCAGATCACATGACTGCAGTCTGCAAACACAAAGAGGACTTTGTACAATCTGAGCTTTAGTGATTCAGCCAAGATCTAAGGACATGCTAGCAGTCAATGTATGTGAATCACAGAACAACTGGTACACACACAGAAAAACATTGGAGTAATTTTTATTAATCCAGTTAATAAATACGTTTTTCACTGACTTCTTGTAAAATGTTCGGAGACAGAATATCGATTGTAACCAATTATCAATGTGCAACTACAAACTTTAAAACAACGTTGGTCTTTTTAATGGTTGCGCTTTCACTCTGGATTTTCTAAAAAACAAAATTAAAACAAAAACAAAAAATTCAAAACATGTAGTACACTTAACAATTTTGAACTTTAGGCAAATAATTAGAAAAGTAGGCAAAGAGCAGAGCTTTCATAGTTAAATGCTACTAAACTTTGTAAACTTGAGATTGGGCTAATTTTAAGGAGCAAAATTTCAACTGTATGTTAATTTGCATCACACCATGACTACATTATACAATACATTTATTGATCTGTAGCTTCTGTTGCCATCTCAGCAGTTTAAGCAGTTAAACATAATGGTTAAAATACAAAAGCAGTTTATCTTGGCATTGACTGTTCTGATGCTAGCTTTTAAAGTCAAAAATTAGAAGAAGCTGATTACAGAAGTCTCTGCAATAGTTGGCAAACCCACTTAAAGCAGCATCTGCCGGATTCCGCTTCCAGTGTATTGTTGCTACAGGTTTTTGTGAAGTGTTAAATCAAGAATACCTAAACATTGTTTAGAAAATCCCAAAGCAACTTCAAGTAATTTATTAGTGGATAAAAAAAAAAAAACATTCAATCTTTAAAATCTGAGTGAGACTCTAAATGTTACAATTCAGGCCATACTTGTGCAGTAGAATAAAGGCTGTGCATCAGTCACTAACTTTTTAATGTGACAACTTAAGTGTCTCCTCTCTGAGAAGATACACCAAGACTGTCATCACAACAGCGAGTGTACTTTTATTGTTCGTGATGTATACACAAACACTGAAATATCTAATGAAAAATGGAGCAACACTAACACAAACAAAGGATGTGATCTACAAATACTGCATAGTTTAATCAGTGCATTTGGATACATATTTGTTCTATCATGAGGGAAATAAAAGGTGAGGTCAATGTATTTTTGGTTTTGTTATGCATCTATTTGGAAAAGTGTAAACACTACATAAGACCTTCCTGAGCTTGTCTTCCAATTCATTCCTTTGAACAGAATAAGGAACCTAGTCAAAAGAATAAGTGACCTTGTCTATATGAGAATCTCCTCGTATATACATTTATAGGTTTAAAAGAACAAAATAATAAAGGAATTCAATATCAATGTACATGATGCATGTCAATAGCCTCAATGGCAATATGCAGTAGACATGAAGCTTATACAATGCCTCTACTTGTGCTGCCTCATTCAACAAACAGTTTAAAGGATATGACAACCTGCCCTATCAGTATAATTGACCAAAAGCACAGAAGGGACAGAGGAGCTCAGACACTTGGCATCTGGCATGAATAAGACACTTTGAAGGTCAATGCAGAGAGTGTTTAGTATAGCTTGTAACTATTGATTTAAGCCAATAACCTAATGGCACCGTTCTCAGAGCCCAGCAGCAGAAGCCTCTTGGTGGGCAGGACCGCAAGGCTGGTCAGAGTACCGCGGAAGTTCTCCGTGCTCAGTTTTGTGCTACTAACGGGGCTCAGGGAGATATCAGCCATAGAGTACACTCCGATCTTATTAGCCACTGTTCCCGTTACAATCTCTGAACCGTAAAGGTCAAAGGCGTGGATGGGGTCGGATGGTGACTTGTACAGGCGAAGAGGCTTGTGTTCCAGATCTTTCCACACAGTCAGTGTGTAGTCAGTGGAGGAGCTGATAACAATATTTGCTTCTGCAGCCTGAAAAATAAAACAAGAAACAAGAATCAGTGATTGTGGATGTCGTGTCCCAGTAAATTAAAACAAAACAAAAATTAGGAAAAAAGACTAAAATGTCAAATACAGCAAAATCATTATAGACCTTGCAAATACTCTAAAATTTAAGGAATACAACAAAAGATGAGCTGAATAAACACAGAAACACAGACTCTTAGTAAATAAAATTAAATGGCAAAGGGGTTTTATTATGAAAATATCTTTAAAACAGAAACATTTCGCACATATTCAGACAGACAAAAATCAGCCTTTAGCCTTGTTTATATTAAGTTTCTAAATAATCATTTACTATCAGTAACTACCATTGAAAAAACAAAAAAACAAAATAAATAACAACCACTGAATAACATGTTCTGTATCCATAGATTCCTAACCTTCAGTTAGAAGCAAGGAAAATTAATATTTAAAGTACATTTGGAATAGGCTGCTGCAGGTAAGAAAAAAAAAAAAAGAAAAAAAAAAGGGGGGGGAGGTCCGAGTGATGTGTGCGCGCCAATGAGAAATCTCCGTGGTCTTTCTAATACCTAACCTGTGTCCATATTTGCCCAAACTTGTGAGTTTAAAACTGGGGCCCTTATCTCTGACCTAATTTGGGGTTAAATAAAGTTTGCACTATGTTGACAACATATTTGCTAGGTACAACTTTCACCATCTCTGTGCCCCTTAGTATCTCTGAATCACTACCTATGGGGAATACCAAAAAATAAAAGACACTTGACTGACTGTTTTAATATTTATTTACCTGACCACTGAACAACACAGCTACACTTCCTGGCTTGAGTAAATTAGTTTAGGAATCCAACAGCAAAAAAGTCTGACCCCTTTTTTAGACAATCCTGGTGTCAGGCAATATCTGTAAATCTTAAATAAACGCTGGTAAATTATCACTACTTTATTACTACACTTATCAAACTAGAGGTTAGATGCACATACATAATAAAATGCATTTTTCAGTAATCAGAGGAGGAAAATGCGATGATGCTGCTATTATACCAAGTACATCAAAAACAGTTCAAGTAGGTAACAGAACAAAATTTTCCATTTTGTGTCTGATGTAATGTGGGTCACTCAGAGCGATGGAGTCTATGCAACTGATGAGCGATTAGCTGTGCACTGCGTGGGCTGTGTGGTCATCCAGAAGTTTCCAATGTTTACCAGAAAGCCCGATAGTGATTTTGTACAGCCCAGATTGAGCTGGTTGAAGTGTACAATGAAATGGTTACATTATACCAATAAATAACTGCAGGGGTCTTGGATTTTATATAATCCAATCATCTGACCCCATACTAACTGCTCCTGGTGACAAAATAAAAAGTTTGACCAAAGCAGAGACCAATATATCTAACAACCTCATGATTCCCATGCATCCAGCCCAAGTCTTCTGTAAACAACTTGACTGGTACTTGGTGTAACAAAGGCTACATTCACACTGCAGGTCTTAATGCTCAAGTCCGATTTTTTGATCAAATCAGATTTTTTTTTTGTCTGGTTGTTCACATTACAAATAAAATGTGACAGCAAACACGCTCTAGTGTGAACGGTTCACGGCCCTCAAGGTGGCCCGCATGCACAAAAGACATCACAGCCAGGTGACAGCTGGGTTTGTCGCCCAAACTAATCATAAAACGGGCAGGTGACTTGACCACGTCCGCTTTGTTTGTTTACATCTTCAGCTTCTTTAAACTTTGCTCTGAGGCTCTTCACTTTCCTCTGACACTGTAGCCACGTTCGCCTGTGCCCTCGTTCACACTCGAACACAGCCTGGTCACGATACGACCCTTCAAGTTTAGCTTGAATGGAATTGTCACCCCATATGCTAATCAAGTCCAAAACCTCAGTTTCTGTCCACTGACTCCCTCTGTCTCTAGTTTCGGCCGACATGCTTTATCGTTTGTCTTCTCCGGTGCTGATAATTGGCGTCTGTCTTGTGTCAGTGACGTGAAAGATGGATTTAATGCGACATGACCATTCAAACAGCAGTCGCTTTCTAAAACATCAGATATGTATCGGATTCAGATCCACATACGAAAATGACCCAGGTCGGATTTGAAAATATCGGATTTGTGCTGTTCACACTGTCACACCATGATCGGATATTAGGGGTGCAATGATACACAAAATTCACGGTTCGGTACTTCGGTGTCATGGTTCGATATTTTTTCGATACAAAAAAAAAAATAAAAAAAAAATGTTCATGCCTTTTTAATTTGTCATTTATTAAAATTATAAATATATATTTTAACTCAAAAGTACAGTTTTTAAATTTAATGTTGCTGAAACAACAAAGTAATAAAAATAAATATATCTGATTGAGGAATCACTCATCTTTGGAAAAGAGTTTATTAGAGAAATGGCTCTTTCCAAAATAAAAGCTATACTATACGCTTCTTCTGGGCTATATTCTCAGCAGCATATTAAACATATCAGGTCCCCATAAGGAGAATCATGTGCTAACGGCTGTCTAAATGACTCTGCTTCCACTTGTCTTTGCACTAGGATGATGTCAGCGTAAATGTGCAGTCATATTTGTTGTGTTCCCACTAGTGCTGTCAGCGTTAATCTGAAATGACGTTGACGCCACAACACGGCAAATCTCCGTTAACGAGCTACCGCGGAACGCCCTGTGCGTGGGGCTGGACGGCCAAAACCTTAATGAGCTAACTGCGCTAACGCACTAGTTCACACCAATGTAATTGAGCATTGCGTGGCACATCCAACATACTGTTTTACTTTTGTCCATGACGCGCTTACCTTCAGGGTCATACGTCACATGAAAACCAAAATAGTTCCAAACGTCAGATCTGAATTAGGGTGGGGGAGGTTCAATTTGCCATGTTGCAAGGAGAGCTTAACTTCTGTCTTGCTAGCTTGCCCTGCGCTCAGTGAATCTGCGTTCGACTACTCCGCCTAGGCTGCACTGTCGAGCGCAGATCCACTGAGCGCTCAACACAGACAGCATGTCAGAAGGAAAGTTGATAAAATAAATTAAAAGTTTTGTATTGTTCGATACATATGGGTACCGAACCAAAAGTACTGTATCGAACGGTTCAATATTGATACGAATATCGTTGCACCCCTATCGGATATGGGTCGCATAGGGTCAAAAAAAGTCAGATTTGATGCGCTTTCGCCTACAGTGTGAACGTAGCCAAAGATTGAGGTTCATGAATCAAAGTATCATATACATTGAGAAAGTATTATTCTAACCTGAATAAACCTTTACCTTCTTTTTATCTACATTTGATCTATATTGAAATAACAGCATCACACAGTTACTGCAGATTTGTTGACTGCACATCCACGATGTCAAACTCCTGCTCCACCACATTCCAGACGTGCTCGATTGGATTGAGATCTGGTGAATGTGGAGGCCAGTCGACTACAATGAACTCATTGTCATGTTCAAGAAACTAGTTTGCGCTTTGACACAGTGCATCATCCTGCTGGAAACAGCCATTAGAAGAAAAGAAAATTTTCCTTTACCTCATTATACCACCACATTCAGCCTGCTTTCATGTTGTTTATGCTAAATTCTCACCCTACCATCCCAATGTTGCAGCAAAGAGGAGACATTAGGCAACAGGCAACATTCTTTCAGTTTTCTATTGTCCAACTTTGGTGAACCCATTTAAAAAGTAGCCTTAGTTTCCTATTTGAAGTTTATTGGTGTGGCAAGTAGCCATCTGCTTAAAGGTTTGATACTTTGTGCATTCAGAGATGCTCTTCTACATTCCTTGGCTGTAACAAGTGTTTGAGTTACTGTTGCCCTTCTGTCAGCTGAAAGCAGTCTAATCATTCTCCTCAACAAGGCAGTTTAACCAAGTTAACTGATAATTTCTCTTTTTCAGACTATTCTCTGTAAACACTAGAGATGGTTGTGTGGGAAACATCCCAGGAGATCAGCAGGTTCTGAAATAATCAAACCAGCCCATCTGGTACCAAAAACTATCCTAAGTTCAAAATCACTTAAATCACAATTCTTTTCCATTCTGATGCCAAGTTTGAACTTCAGTAGTACTAAGTAGTAGTCTGAAGACATAAATAGGTCTACTTGACAAATTGGCCAGCACACGTATAGAACAACAGTCAAAATCTGACTACATACTCCCCTGACAACTCAAGCTGTCACCCAGACATACCACCTTACCCATTTGACTGAAACTGCATACACCACATACAAACTGTAAATATACCTTCATTTGGAGTATGTCTCCTTCATGAGCTGGCCAGCCTTTCAGTACAAGCCCTGTGCGTGCATCTAGCAGAACAATGAAGCCAGATGAAAAACCTGCCGCCACTGTGCGTCCTGAAGGGTTTACAGCCAGATAACGGATGAGCCCAGCACTCACATTGTTGCATGCCAGACGAAATTCATGCTGAGTACATGGGGAAAGATTGCTATAATTATTATAGTAGAGAAGCACAAAAGAGCTATTGCTTTCAAAACACAGTAATGAAAAATAATTGGTGGGTGATGTATAAACTAGGCCTTAACAGATAGATTGAAATTGTTACCTGCAAGCCAGGCTTGCGAGGATCAATGAAGCGGAGAACAGAATCTGCGCTGCCGTACACAACACTGCTGTGTGGAGCAGGCATGGTGGTGACAGCTGTAATGGGATTCTTCCCATCCACGGTTTCATGCAAGCGGATCTGTTTGCCTAAGGAGATAAAAACTTATATTTAAGCTAAATGAAACAGTTGAACTTGTGTGTAGTAATGCACTGCAGTTCATCTCCCTACCTGTATACTGGTCCCACAGGTGCACGGTACCATCACAGCTGACTACCTCCTGTGAAGCCTCCAGCTGTCCAACATAGAACACAGACTTTCGATGGTCGTTGTACGTCAGCCTGGGCTCCACATCCTGCGTACCATCACCGTGGTTATACAGCGGCCAAAGCTTCACAGTCTTGTCTTTACTACCAGAAAGAAAGTAATCCTCTCCTGCAAGAGGTGCCAAACACTTTGTGGTGCCCGAGTGACCCAGAAAGCTCTGTAATCTGATCTGATGGAAGTGAAAATGTGGATCTTGTTGATTAAGACCAATTTCATACTGCCAGTAGGCCAGCCAGTTGCCCTGCAGGGAGCGGCTACTTCGGGGGAGCTCCTGTTTCAAGACGCTGTCCTCTGGCGTGGGGCTTGTCACCCAGGAGGAGGAGAAAGAAGCTGCACCAGTGGATGGTGTTGTGAAGGTGGAGGCTGTTGTAATGATAGGTGTGGTATGACCAGAGCGTCCCCAAGGGTGAGTCAAGCCAACGTTTGAGCAGCCACCATAGTCAGTGTCTCTGGATACTTGAATTCGGTTTCCTACGAGGTGGCTCCCAAATGTGCCTGACTCAGGAAGCAAGTCTCCTTGCAGGGTGGAACTAGTTGAGAGGGATGAAAACGTGCTACAATCCACACGTCTGCCAAAACCAGAGGGTGGAAGTGGATCCACCCTGGATGCTATGGTGGTTGTTTCTTGACTCTGACTTACACTCTGATGGTAAGACTGGGCCAACTCCCAGACCAGCTCATGATTAGGAACTAGTTTCCGGATTGCTGTATCACCTAGAGCAATGACAAAAGAATGCCGTTTTATATCTCTTTATTATTAAAAAAAACAAAACAAATATTACTTTTAGCACAGATAATTTCCATTAGATAAAGTATTACATTACAAAACATAAGACATCTCCTACCGATGAGGCAGTAGAAGGGGATGTAAGAGGCATGAGCCATTTGAGGGTTAAATACAGTCTGCAGCTCTTCCAAGACCCCCAGCTCATATGTCACATTTGACTCTTCAGTGGTACAGACATCTACCACTGTGACTTCTCCCACAACCCTGCGAGGGGCGTTGTTGAGCTACAGGATAAAGACAGACTATACTGATATATTTGACATAACTGTCATTTTAAATTGTATTCCTTTTTTGCAACTCCAACAAAATAAGTGTAACTAAAATACACCTTTACATTTATTTAAAAAAAAAAAGTTATTATAGGTTTCTATCTAGTTTTTTTGTTTGTTTTACTGTTTTGTCACTTCGTGTCAAATATTTCTCATGAAGCTATTTGTGACAAATTTCTAGTTGAAAGCCTTTTAGAAAAACAAACAAACATGCAACATAACACTCGCGAGTCATTATGTATTAGTTGTTGGGTTATCCATCTTTGTGAGGACCAAACTGAGACCCTGACCCTCTGTGTCAGAGTTATGATTTAGTTTTTGGTGGTCAGCATTTAGCTGTGACGGCTAAGGTTGGAGATTTTGAAAAAGCACGCGTGTGTGTATGCATACCTGGGGCTGCAGAGAATGCAGTAGCGAGAAAACAGCAAAGAATCGACGCAAAGTGTCAGCCATATGCTGCTGCACCATTTCCCTCCCAATGCGTAGACAGATGAGAGCCATCAGGCTGAGTATCTTGAGACAGACAACAGTGCGTGTCTGAACTCCACTGGGAAACCTACAGAGTACAGCAGAATGGGAAGAACAAAACAAAGGATAAACAGATCTAATGTAACAGAGTTTTTTTTTTTTTTTTTTTTT